GAGCCAACCTTGAGCAAAGTCTGTAACGTTGTCTCTTCTGAACCCGACAACACGCCGTATTTTTAGGGCCTGTCAGAGTTCCTGTCGGGCCCAATTTCTATAAATGGAAACCCTTGCCTTAAATGCAAGGTACGCAATCCTAGATAAAATCGGCAAGTTAGCTCGGACTAGAACTAACTTGCTCGTCGGAGTGCTAACTTTGTTTTGCAGGTCTCGTGAGTGCTCTGGGAAGGTGTTGGACGGCAGCCAATAGCTCATCCTGTACATTCCGATCTACTACCTATCCGAGGTCAGCAATCTCGGGTTCAAACAATATTCGTAGAGCATAATAGATATATTGGACTATATTATTAAAATTTTAACGCAATTTGATGATCTCAAGTTCTTTCGTTGGTATTCATGAAATTTTCCGACCACTGATTAAACCAGTCTTTGACCTGAGCCTCCAAATATTGTTTATATGTTCCATCTTTGTAGTGCAACTAAAAATTTGTCTGCCATGGTTGGGATTTCTTGGTGATTGAAGTTATCGAAGTGAATTTGCTTGCACTAGAGTTAGTGTTTTGGGTTGCTTTGTTGTCGGATAAATTCTCTGCATATTTCAGACTTTAGACTAAACAAGCACAGGTTAAAAGGAGTATATGACCGATTTGAATTGAGAGGTCTGATTGATTTGTATGTTCGTCTGTTGATGGCTTAGGATTGTCTAAGAAATGCATGTGTCTGTTCCTTCACACCAACCAAGCTCTTTCCAACTGTTTTCACCTGCACAACAAGCACAAAATTTGCCTCAGACCCTCTAGAAAAACAAATCAAATCCCCATAATTGAGACAGAGAGAAACCAAAACACATCAGATTTTTTTTTTCTTATTTAATATAAAGTAATAGCTGCAACCATCTCTATAGTTTAATTTATCACCTTCAGCTATGTCCCAAAAATTGTTAGGTGGAAAGATAATTTCTGGATCCCACTTTTGGTGGGAAATGCAAAAAGGACAGTCAAATGATTATTGCTGTATAAGGAAGCATGAAGATATTAGTTCTCACACACAGAAAAATTACAAACTTGAAATGGTCTTCACCATGATGTTGGGAGCTAGAAAGGGTTGCAATACGTTTTTTTAGCAAGAAATAAAATTTTCATTGATAAATAAAAAGGAGAAAAAATAGTTGAACGATACCAACTCCGAATAGGAGTTCAAAGGATGAGAAACCAAAACAAAAAAGAAAATCCTCAAATATAGTATTAATATTCATTCGGTTACATCTCACAACAAATCGGTAATGGGAGGAGTAACCCACTTGTATTATAAGGTCTCTTATCTTTTCAACGTGAATCCTTAACCGATAGAATACTGAACAAAAAAAGTGCCTACAGTGAATCAAATAAGCCAGATGACTCGAGAAAAAAAAATTACGAAACCAGAGAGCAGCCACTAAAGCTGAAGACCAAATCCAACAAAACAATAGACCATAGCCTTGGAGAGAAACAAAATATGCTCAATTGCATTGTTTTAATCACATTTGTTTAACAATAATAAAAGAAAAAAAAGGCTGAAAAACTTTGTCATTTTCTGGATGTACAATAAAGAATCATCACGAGTAATTGGTGATTAAGTTGAAAATTGAATTAGTAATTAAGATGATGAGCGATGGAGTTGGTTGTAAGATGACCACATCGGAAATATTTGAAGTTAGTGAGTTGTATTTAGTTGAGGCTGTGAACGTCATGGGTTACCACCTACTGGTTTGAGTAGCATGTAAAATTGCCTTCGTGCTCTTCTCTCTGAATAAAGGCTTCAGCTGTTGGGCTTCAGAAGGTACTAGCACCCACGTTCCATCATGATAATTTATTTTCTCAATTTATTTTCAAGAGAGTGACCATTGGATAGGCAAAACTCGTCTTTCGGCGGTGAAGGAGAAAGTGCACTCTTATGTCGCACACATGCATCCTAATTTGGTTGTATCCATTCCATGAACCTGAGCATTTCGTGGCCGGCCCATCACATCTACCATATGGTCTATCTTGGGGAGGGGGGAAGATGTCCTTAGGGGCCTCATTACGGCACATGCTAACTTACTCTTGACTTTTTTTACAAGGATAACGTTGGAGAGCCACTACGGGTAGTGGACCTCATGTAAGAAGCCAGCTTTGAAGAGATCCTTGAGTTACGCTGCAATGATGGTGCTCTGCTCAGTGTCCACATAGCGTCACTTCTGTAAATCAATAGTATTTGGGGGTTGAAAATCGTACTGCCACGTGGAGGACAGAAAAAATGTCCAACTTTGGAGGTCTTCCCTTTGGTGGCTGACCTGAAGATCTTCCTTTTGGTGGCCGACCTGAAGTGGCCGACCTAAAGAGCTCCACTGAGGGTCGACCTAAAGAGCTCTACTTAGGGCCGACCTGAAGAGCTCCCCTGAGGGCCGACCTGAAGGCCTTGCCTAATGGCCGACCTGAGGCCTTCCCTAAAGGCCGATCTGAAGGTCTTCCCTGAAGATCATTCATGGGAGGAACGACCTTCCATACTTAGCCAAATTCCAGATGACAAGAGTATGAACTGGAATAGCTACTCCCGACAGGCCGACCTTGGTCCCGACATGCTCAACCGCTGGCCGGATTCCTTGTCGGGTACCTCAACCTATAAATAGGGCACTCCACTCTTCAGTCAGGTATCGTATTCTAGCTCGGCCTTCATACTAAGGTCGTTCTCAAAACTGACTTGAGTGTCAGAGTGTTTGTTTCCTTGTGCAGGTCTTTCCTCACCAAGTGCCCTTTCAGCTCATTCCTGACACCAGCTCATCCCAGTCAGCCGACCTTGACCCTTTGAGCTGGTCATCCCTTTCCAAGGAAACCCAAGCTCTTCCTGCAGTCATACCTGAAAAGCAGGTCATGCTCTCCCGACAGTCATACTTGGAGTACGTCATACCCCGTGGCCGACCTTGACCAGGTCATACCCCGTCACATTTTCTGCATAAACAAATAGAAATATAAATAAAATGTCAATGTAGATGAATTTTTTTGCAAAAATATTATTAAAATATAAAAGTTATAGCAAATATATTAAAATAACAAATGAACCTTTCATAAAGTTTTAAATAACTTTCAAATTCTTAATATTAATATTATGTCATGTTAGTGATATTTTTTTGAATTTTATTGATTTATTGATTTGTTTATTTTTTGGTATTATGTCCATGCATTAAATTTTAGAAATAAATAATGTTAAAATTAGTTTTTTTCAATTATAAAATAACTTTATAATATAAGTTGGTCGACTTGGTACTTGTATTCGAGATTGTTTGGTTAAACATCTTTATCTTCCATTTAATACAATGCCACTACTACAAATATGAGCTTCAATTAGAGTTAAAAACTATCATTAACATAATTCGTAACAGTTCATAACTTTCATCCATTAAGACATTAAGGAAAATGAGAATTCGAAAAATTGTCTTTAATGCCATTACAACGACGGTTATAATTTATCACCAATAAATCTTCTATCACAATTAAAAAATGTAACAAATAATTCATTTGATTCCAGTTTATAATTGTCACCGAAAGAGACAAAAATTTTGTTCTCTACTAAGAGAAAATTAATGAGAATAGTTTAAAATTATCACGAAATGTATTTTAACAATGTTTTATATATGTCACAAAAATATATATAACGATTATTTAAAAATGTCATTGAACATTTAATAATGATATTTTTTAAGCATCATGAAAATTTAATAATGTCAATTTATAATTGTCATGAAATGTATTTTAACAATATTTATAAATCTCACGAAAATATTTATGATGACTATTTAAAAATGTCACGGAACATTTAATAATGAAAGTTTTTAACAATCACGAAAATAGTACAGTGACAATTTAAATTATTGTAATGTAATTTTATGACCGTAAAATCTTTTAACTATGACAATATTGTAAAATCAGTCAACCTTGTGCATCCAGTCAACAAAATTTACCAACTCAGCAGTACCAATAAACCTCACGGTTCCATCTCAGCAACACGAAATGAGCTTCAATATTCCTGCACTAATAGGAGACAACAGGTCAACAATTTATGGCATTAGCACACTGAATTTTTATCTAATTCCATAGCAGTGAGATGCTACTTTTCGCATTCTTTTCAACCATTCCTTACCTTATACCTTAATTTATCACCTTCACCATGTCCCAAAAACTGAAGCTAAAGAGCAAACCCAACAAAATAATAGACCATAGCACAAAGGACTCAGCTTTGGCAGAGAAAAACAAAATATGCTCAATTGCATCTGTTTATGCAAGGATATGCACAACAGTATATTTCCGACTGCAGCTCGAACTCGGAACCCGGACCGATCTGAATACCTGTGGCGGACCTGCACAAAAAGGTGAGCACTCCGACGATCAAGTCAGTACAGGTCGGATTCTTAGTTTAGTTCGAGGTCAGAAATCATCGTACCTGATCGTGGAGTGAGGTCCTCTACTTATAGGTCGTAGTCCCGCAAATCTCGCGACGGTTACACCCGGTAATCTCGGGACCATCGGTTACACCCGGTAATCTCGGGACCGTCGGTTACACCCGATAATCACGCCGCTGACAGCAGCTCACATCGGCCCCTACCGAGCTTCCCGGTAGGTCGGACCTTGGCCAGGTTCACCTCGGCCCTCACACTTAGCTTTCGCCGACGTTGGTGGCAGCCATCTCGGCTATCCGAGCTGGGCATGACTCATGGGCCATCTTGGAGCACCAATAGGGGTCCTCCACGTGTCCAGGGTATTTTCATCCCCAAACATTGGCCCCCTCTCTGTCTGGTCCGATCTCGACCTGGCAGAGAAGTTCATTCGACTTGCTTTGGACACGTGGCGACTTCCTATTCGTGGGAAAATACAACCGTCGCGGAAGATTTATCGTCGRAATATTCAAATATTCCGACGTTTCAGATCTCAGAGAGGATCCTAGCCGCTCGCTGATTACACGTGTACGGTGGGGAATTCTTCCGACGGGCTATAAATGCCCCCAATCCTTCAGTTCATACCTTACGTTCCTTGAATTCTTGGAGTTCGATCTGAAGGCAGCTCGAACCCTTGGTAGGTCGGTCTCTTCCCTCTCTCTTTCGAACGTAATTGCCATGTCGTCCTCTATTAGTAGCAACCTAGAATCCGATTTAGCTCGTAGGTTAGAGTCCAAGCTCGAGGAGATAGAAAACTKTAGAATCTCCGATGACGGGGAGGATAGTGACGCCTCCACTTCAGGTCAGGGCTTGGAATACCCTTCTAGGATACCTGAGCACTACCTCGGATCCCTTCGTAGGGGGTTCGCTATCCCTGAGAACATCCTCCTCAGGCTTCCGGAGGAGGGGGAGAGAGCTGACAATCCTCCAGAGGGATGGGTCACTCTCTACTTCAAAATGTTTGAGTACGGCCTCAGACTTCCCCTTCACCCTTTTGTCCAAGAATTTCTCTTCCGGACTGGGTTGGCACCGGCTCAAGTGGCCCCCAATGGGTGGGGTGTTATTTTCGCTTTGGCCATCCTCTTTTGGCTACGAGCTCGGGATAGTGAGGAGGCCGAGCTGTTDGACGTAGACCAGCTCCTCGCGTGCTTCGAGGCGAAAAGGATAGCTAAGAAGCCTGGTCGGTTCTATATGTGCGCAAGGAAAGGCGCAGGCGGTATAGTTAAGGGGCCGACCTCCATCAAGGGATGGGTGAGGAAGTGGTTCTACGCTTCCGGGGAATGGCTCGCAAAGGACGAGTCAGGTCGTTCCTTCTTTGACGTCCCCACTAGGTTTGGGAACCTAGGTACGGAATAGTTCTTACTTTTTCRTAATTTTCTTCTGTCATTCAGGTCTAACTCGGATCTTGYCCTCGTGCAGTTTCAATCCGACCAGTTCCCGAGCTTACGCAAGCCTCCTTCGATACGCTGAAATACTACAAGGAGCGCTTTCCGAGGGGTAGGAAGGTCGGAACCCTGGTGACTGACGAACTGCTGCTTGAGTCTGGGCTGCTAGATTACAACCCTGCAGTTCGTCCCATTGAATCCTCAAGGCCGAACTCCGAACTTGGTATGCCGAGCTTGCCTCCCCCCCTTTTTCCTCTAACCTTGTGTTGACCCCTGTTTTTATTTCGCAGCCATGGTTTGCGGATTTGCAAGCGGCGTGAAGCGCAAGTCTAAGGGCCGAGCCCATGCTCTTGAGGCTGCCCAGAGTTCGAAACCTGCCACTCCTGCCGTGGTAGGGCCTGCCTCGGAAGATCCAGCCCTGGTGATCGAGCTGGAGTCTTCTGGGGGTCCCTCGAGGGAGAAGCGCCCCAGGGATCAGACCGAGGCGGTGGACGCCCAGACC